TGTGTGTGTGTGTGTGTGTGGCCAGCTCAGCCCACCAGGGGGCGGGGCTGGCTGGCATGTGGTGCTGGGGGATTGAACCGTGGTCATTGTGCTTTGCCAAGCTTGTTCCAAGTAGGTGCTTTAGACCACTGAGCCATCTCGCCAGCCCCTTTTTTTTTTTTATGCTATAGTGAAAGATATTGTTGCCATAATTTATCTCTCAGTGAATTTGTTATTTATTACAAGAAGGCTGTTGATCTTTGAGTGTTGACTTTGTATCCAGCTGTAATTCTCAATTTGGTTATTAAATCTATGAGTCTTTTAATGGAGTTTTTGGGGTCTTCTATGTAGAGTATCATGTCATCTATAAGTAATGATAATTTAACTTCTTCCTTTCCTATCTTCCTCTTATTTCTTTCTCTTGTCTAATTGTTCTAGCTGATGTTTCCAAAACTACATTGAAATGAAGACCATTTATTCCAATTTTCCTGTAGTGTCTTTATCATAAATGGGTGTTGGACTTTGTCAGATGCTTTTTATGCATCTATTGAGATGATAGTATGGTTTTTGTCCTTGGCTCTGTTGATATTTATTGATTTTCATACATTGAACCTTCCCTGCATCCCTGGAATGAATCCTACTTGGTTATGGTGTATAATCTTCTTTTTCCTTTTTATGTATTTGATACAGGGTCTCACTGCACAGCTGAGACTTACAGTGTTTCTCCTGTTTTCATCCTCCCCAACACTGGGATTACAGGCATGCAGCACTATGCCTGGTCTCAGTGGCCGACTCAGTGCACCCAGGGGTGGGACCAACTTGGCATATGGTGCTGGGGATCAAACCCTGGTTCCTGTGCTTGCCTAAGCAGGAGTTTAGTCCACTGAGCTTTCTCGCTGGTCTCTGTAATCTGCTTGATGATTTGCTACATTCTGCTTGCCTGTATCTTACTGAGGATTTCTGTATCTGTGTTCATTAGGGGCATGGGTCTATATTTTTCTTTCTTTGTCAGGTCCTTTTCTGGTTGTGCTGTTAGGGTAATGCTTGCTTCTAGGAATGAATTTGGAAGTATTGCTTCCCTTTAAGTTTCATTAAGGAGTTTGAGAAGTAGTGGTATTAGGTCTTCTCTAAACTTCATTAGGCCACAGTACTGGCCATTCGAGAAATGCAGACAAAGAAACAGAACCATAAGGATTAAACAATGCAGATGAGGGAAAGGGGAAAGGACAGGAAAAAAGGAAGTGGGAAAGAATCATGTATGTATATATCCAGGATGGCTGAGATGATTGTACTAATAATTTTCATGAGTTTTTTGAAAATAGCAGTTAATGTTTAGAAATTTCACTTTGACTAACTCTGTATGCTGATATCTGTGATCTAAGCAACTACATCAAGGATAGCAATGAGTATTACAAAAACCATGCTTAAATACCTCTCATCTTGGTATTCCAAATGTATACTGTTTCTAATGTCTTATCAGTTATTACTATGTGCTTTTAAAAATTAAAAAATAAAGAAAAAAGGTTTAGTAAAAGCAAACATTCATATTCAAATATATGTCCAATCTTGCATAGCTATATCTGTTAAACTGAGCAACAGATTTGACGAAAAAAATAGGTAATATAGCATCCATTTTTTAAAAACATTTTAGTTTTACTGTTCTTTTTTATTAATTTCATTGAGAAAGAAGTAACAATGAGACAGTTTCAAAACAGGTTGGTAGGACAGTTACAATAATTAATACGTTGTGCATTGTCTTCATAGTAGTTATTCATAGTACAAGATGCAGACATGGTATCTTGTCTAAACACTATCTGTACAAATCTTTCTTCTCACTGAACTAAGAGAAAGTAGCTGTATATCTATCCTAACTTTTGTATA